TTTTTAATATTTTTAAAGTTAAATTGCATTTATAATTGTTTTTTTGGTAGGTTAAAATTTTATTAAATTTTGATAATTTATATATGAAATTTTATTATAAAAACTAAGAAAGAATTTTAATTATAATTTTAGTAATTTTTATATACTTTAGAGCAGTGTTTCTCAACGGGGGTGATATCGCCCCCATGTGGGCGTTTTTCCATGTTGAGGGGGCGATTAGTAACAATTTATATTTTCTGGGCGAAAACAATTTTCTGGGCGATATAGTAAAATATTATATTAAGAATAATTAGATATTTTATTCGTTATATCGTACAATAATTAAACAAATAACATTATACTAGTCACTAGTCTATTCGATACAGTACGAATTTGGCGTTAGCCTTGTCCCTCGACATCGGAATTTTGTAGCGAAGGGGGCGATACTACTTAACGGTTTTATTGAAGGGGGCGATACTATGTTGAAGGGGGCGACGATTCGTTAGAGGTTGAGAAACACTGCTTTGAGAGTAAAATTTCATAAAAATATACAATATTTTCCTGAAATTTTATTTCATAAAACTTTAAAAATCGTTTAAAAATTTCTTGTATTAATTAAATTTTTAAAAATCTTTTTTTTTTCGTCGAACCTCATTTATTATAATACTTTTTCGGGGTAAAATTTCATTTAGTTTTTGATTTTTAATATATTTAAAATTTAATTTTTAATATTTATTCAATTTAATTTTATTATCATTTAAAAATTATCATATTTAAGATGATAATGATAATTGTTACTTTTGTAATTTTTTTTATTTAAATCACTTAAATTTACTTACAAAAAGCCATTTTTTACTTAAAATTAATTATTTTTTTTAATCTAAAAATCTTTATACTTCATCCATTTTTTAAAACTGAAATAACTTAATCTAACAATAATAATTAATTATATAATTGAATTTACACAGAGAAAAAAACATTTCTATATTTTTTTATGGTGATAGTTAATTGTTATAATCGTGAAAATGCATTTCATTCTAATTAAAAAATAAAATAAAATACGATTACTTTCCATTAACTAACAGCATTAAGTCATATATAACTTTAACTTGACAGCTTAGATTAACATTTTTTATTAACACAAATTCCATTATCATTCGTAAATATGATGAAAAATTTCACCAAAAACTTAAATATTATTTTAAAAAATTAATTTGATAATTTCGAAATTTGTAATTAATAGATGATTATTTGATCTACAGGATCATCACTTTATCATTGATGATGATGATATACTCTACAGACGAAAAGCATAAAAATTTAATTATCATCGTAAACAACAATAAGGCACGTTGTAAATGTAATTTATTACTTATATAAGTTTAAAAAATGATAATTATATATATAATTATCCTATTTTCTACTTCTTTAACAAACTAATTCCCCAATCTGTAGTATGTAACTCCCACAATCAACTTTTACTCGTCGGCTATAATTAAAGTAAGTAAAAGGAAAGATAATCGATAAAACGCGCCGTTCCTTTCTATTGGTCAGTAACACAGGATAACAACGCGCATGGGCATTAAAGCAGCATCTACTGTACCTTTTTTGGGGGTTGTTATTTTGGCGGTAGAACCGACTGATATACAGACGAACAACTCATTCGCCATATTTAAATGTTACCTTATCTTAAGCTTTACTTGATAATAAACCTATGTGTCACCTGATAGACAATAAGATATGATAATACACAATTTTACATATTGTGGTTCCTAAAATGGTTTATGCGATTCTATTCTTAGCGGTAAGTTCTCTTCTCTTTCCATACGTAAAAGGTAGATATAGCCGAATTTCTTGCATAATTTGCAAGGTGAAATTCAGTTGGGCAATGTTATTTTTATATTAAATAAAGTTCGTATGCAATACACGACACTCTTGTGTGTGCTTGCTGTACACGTAACAGTTTAAACATTGTCAAAATTCTTTGTGTAAAGTTAATTGAAATAGTTTATATTGTAACGTTACACCCATTTTAATTTATAAAATATTTTTGCAATTTCCTTTATTATATACAACTTTGCATTTTTGTTACATTGTTAAATGTAAGTACTCAATGACAAATCGGCACTAATTTTTTTTTTTTTGCAAGAGAGGGATTTAAAAA